GGTTGTAATAGCCAATTTTCTTATTGTTTTTAAAAAGTTTTTTAACAATAATTGTTGTTTTTGATAAATTGCTTCAATCTGATTAGATATAGTTTGCCGAGATGGTAATCGATACTGTTTATCAAGTTCTTCAATTAATTCAATGAAACTAGGATCTTTGACGACTATAAAAGATTGTTGATTACAAATAATCCACTTTATAAGCAGATAAGTAATACGTTTAACTTTTAATTCATTATCTATTCCGTAAGGTTGAACCGTTTTGGTTTTTTTAAGTTCTAACTCTACTTGATTATAAATAGTTGTATGATATTTTTTGAAATGGGATTTAATTGTGCTAATTCCTGTTAATTTTTGCCATTTTAATTGAGGACGTTGTCCTATACATGGTTTATAGCAAATGTAAAGTTCGCATTCGCTTGGTTCAAGATATTCACGTAAAGGATGAGGTTTTTTGCATTTTTTATTTGAGGAATTATCAAATAATGATTCTACAGTTAAAGAATCTACTTTTAATTCTTTTTGCAAAGAATCACGTATTTCATTATATAAAAGGTCTTGTTCTTCAATAATATTGGTATCGTTGTTTGTAATATCCATGATGCAAAAATTTAATATTCGAAAGTAAAAAATTTCTCTTTAAATAAAAAATTGATTTATTATTTTAATTGTATTTATTTTATATATTTTTTTATGGCTTTGTCTTTCGTATTATTATGTTTGAATTAATAATTATGTGATTAATATGAGGTTCGAACAATAACCAAATTTCCATAATAAGAAATAATAAAACCGTTTGAACAAAACCGTTTGCCAAATTAAGAACAATAAACTGTTTGAACAAAAACTGTTTGCCAAATTAAGAACAATAAACTTTAAATGTGAACTAATTGTCAAATTAAAATCAATAAATTAGTTTAGAAACATCAAACAAAAGCCGTTTGCCAAATTAAGATTTATATGCTAGTTTGAAATTTGTATCTTTTCTAATTTAAGTTTAAACTGAAGTTTCGAACGTAAATTGAACTGCAAACTTAATAAACACAATAAACAGT